ATTTATAAATTATCAAGGGCTCATGAGGGAAGGGGCAGTGGGGAGGGAAGGGGAAAATGACCTAATTCCGGGGGGGCTTAAATGGAGAGGAAATGTTTTGAGAATCATGAGGGCAATGAATGTACAAATGTGCTTACACAATTGATGTGTGTATGGATTGTGATAAGAGTTGTATGAGCCCCTAATAAAACGATTTTTAAAAAAAGAAAAGAAAAAAAAAAGAACTAACTGATCTTGGATTTGGGCTAGAATTAAGTGCAAGCCCTAATCCATTCACTTGTCTGTGGCTTATGTATGACTCTGGTTTACTTTAGAGGCCTCATCATTTTATGACAGAGAACATGTCATGTATTTTTTTTTTAGATTTATATGGAAATCTTCATACATTGCTGGCAAGAATGTGAAATGGTGCAGCTGCTTTGTAAGACTGTTTTTCTGGTTCTCCTAAAGTTAAATATAGAGTTACGATAAGACCCAGCACGTCTACTCCTTGGTGTATACCTCAGGGAAATGAAATTATTTGTGCATTAATGTTTGTAGCAGCCTTGCAATTTTCATATTAACCAACAAAGTGAAAGTGGCCTCACTGTTCATCAACTGATAAATAGATGCATAAAATGTGGGATATTTCTGTAGAATATTATTCAGAGAAAAAGATAAGTGTTTTGCTAGATGCCACAATATGGGTAAATAAAAGAAACGCATCACAAGATAGCACGTACTATTTAGTTCTGTTTATATGGAAAGTTCCGAATGGGCAAATCTAAGTAGATAGATTACTAGTGGTGTCTAGTGGTTGTCTTTGTTGGGGTGATGTCACACACCACTGAGGATACTAAAACCACCCAATTGTACACTTTCAGTGGGTGAATTAGAAGGCATCTTGGTATGAATTATCTCCCAAAGTAGATTTTTTGAAGTGTAAATGTTGCTATGTTCAGAAGGTAAGCTTTTTGACATCGCATTATGAGCCCACCAAGTTACTGTATTTTGAGATTTATTTGGGGTTTTTTTGTTTTGTTTTTAATTAAAAGATCATTTTAGTGGGGGCTCTTAAAGCTCTTATAACAATCCATACTCAGTTGTATCGAGCATATTTTTACATTTGTTGCCATCATTATTTTCTAAACATTTACTTTCTATTTGAGCTTTTGGTATCAACTCCTCTTTTTACCCTCCCTCCCCGCCTCCCACCCTTGTGACCCCTTGAAAAATTATAAATTATTATTATTTTCATATCTTACACTGACCACTGTCTCCCTTCCCCCATGGTTTCTGTTGTTCGTCCCCTGGGGGTTTGTGTGACTATTATGCGTTGATCACTGCGATTAATGAGATTTATTTGTTTTTGTTGATTCAATTCTTTGTAATTCATTTTTAGCATTCCATTGCTTAAGAATTTATTATTTATTGATGGACTTAGTGTGTTCCTAGAGGGTTTTCTTTTCACTCTTTAAACATCATGTTGCAATGAACATTTAAATTTATTTCTGTACTTGATTATGTTGAGGCTTTTTTTTTAAGTTAAAATGGTATATTATTAACAATTTGTAGTTACTAGAAAGCATTTTGTTGGTATGCCTCAGAACATATAAATGTAGAATTTAAAGTTAAAATTAGCCAGAGTATTTTTTTTAATCATT